TTATATCTTTTAATTTTATCCATTTAACTCTTATTTAGGCTTCAATATATACCCTAAAGTTATAACATTCAATATAATACTTAACTTCCATTTGGATTCTGCTTGGTACATTCTTAAAATACACACTATATTCTTAAAAAGAGAAAAAATTATAAATGTATATAATTAAAACAACACATTCCATTCCAATTCAATTCTATCATTAATATTAATATTCATTAAAGTCTTAACATCTTTAACATTACTTTTCAATTAAATATACTTGAAACAATTATAAGCTTTCCATAGTTAATTTTCCTCCCTCTTCACTTATATTTTATAAAACATTAACTAATTAAAATGTTCCCGTTCCTTCCTAATTCAATTTTCTCATTTATTTTATTTCACTTATTTTATTCACAAACATTTCACTAAATTACACTTTTTTATCCCTCATTTTAATCATACATTGTTTCCAATTTTCTAAAGTTATTTCTATTACTAATATAACAATACAATCTTATGTACCTTTACAGAATCCCTTCTTCAGTTAGATTTTCACCCATTATCTCTAAATAGGTCCTGTTTCTCTATATCTTGCTCCGGTCCTTTGTAACTTCTTTTCCTTTCCTTCTTCCTTCTCTTCTTCTCTCTCCCTTTTACCCCCTTGTCTCTCTACCTCTATTTCTCTCTTCTGTATTCCTCTTTTCTGTTGCTTTCCAGTATTATAACTTATTTTCCGAATTATTTTTCTTTTCTTTGGTTGTTTTTTTAAGTCTTAAATTCTCCATTCTCTTTCCCCCCTTTCCTTTTTCTTCCCCACATAAAATTACTTATTCATTAAAGATGGCTTCTTCTTTGTCCCAGTCTTCTTGTTTTGCAGACGTTCCTTGTTGTTTCTCATAGTTCCAAATCTCCATTTCTAAGAATTGAAAAACGAAGCCAAAAGAACCCTTCCCTTCTTGTGCATCTTCTTTGTACTTTTTAAGTTCCATTTTCAATTTATCCAGAAGTGGTGCCATTGTATAAATTTTTTAACAACCACCCAATTGATTTTAGTCATTCAAATGTAATAACCAAGAATCCAAAGATCACCAAATAATCCAAATACACGCAAACTGTTTCTTTTTGCTCTTTTTTTCACTTTCTCTTCCTGGGGTTACTGTTTAGTTACAAAGTTTCAGTTAAAATGTATCTTTTAGAAGTCTTGTCGAAGTTTTACTGTAGATTCTTTTTATTTCCAGGTAGTCTCCTCCCTCTTCCAGATCCTGCCCTTATTCTTTTTCTCTCCCTTCCTGCTTATGAAAAAGAAAAATTTTAATGTCCAGAAATCTTTATTATCCCTTTGGCATTTTGTTTTATTTTCAGCTTAATTGCCTATTGATGTCAAAGCGGATTTTTCCGATTTCTTATTTAAGTCTCTTAGTTGTCAGTATAAGGAAGGAGAGAGAAGGAAAAAAAAGCCAAACTTTTCCCTTTTCACTTTCTTTCGCTGTTTCCGACTCTTCTTTGGGAGCGATGTTATTTTTTGTAAGTTTAAATTCCAGAGTACCTTGATTGTTGCTTTTACAATTTAACCCGGTCAGCCAAAACTTTCACTTCTTATCTTCCTCCTGCACATTCTTTTCCGGTTGAGTTCTTCTTTGTGGTGGCCATTTCTGGCCACTGCTGCAACCGCCTTTGGGAAAGGGAGTAATGGCCAGCTGAGGAGGAGAGAAGCAGCTCTCCTCGACCCTGCTGGCGGTCTCCCCCCTCTTCACCACCTCTACGGGGTGGCTTAGCTCTGAAACCAGCCGGCTCGGGGCACTCCAGCAGCGAGCCCAGACAGAAACTGTGCACGATCGAAGAGACTTCAAACCAGAAGACCCTAATCTTAATACTAAATTCTGAATTGCTCCTGAAAAAATGCTGCAATTTAAATTTTAGAGTTAGGACTATGATGAAATTATGCAGAGAAAAAAGACCAAGCTAAAAGTTTATCTTACACAGAACATGTTTTTTAAATATTTTTTTATTGAATTTTACACAATTAAAAACAAAAATACAAAACTATACAACAAAACAACACAAATGTAATCTTTACAATGTTGTGACATCTACTTTCCCAGTTTTTGTTAACTATCTATAAAATTTGTTTATATTATTTTTTATTCTTATCATCCTATCATCCAACCAATTACACCATTTTTTTCTAGACTACATAATATTCCTTCTCTTCCCTCTTGTAATTCCAACATGAGTTTTACCATTTCTGCACAATCCGTAATTTTGTTTATGATCATCTGTCTGTGGGAGTGCTAAGTTTCAACTTTGGGCATAAGTTATTCTTGCTGTTGTTAGAATGTGTATTATGATGTATTCAATTTCTTTCTTAAGTGTTCCTCTGATTATCCTTAGCAAAAACATTTCAGGCTTAAAATGAAATCCAATAATTTCTTTCAACCATGTTCTAATTTTATTCCAGTATTCTTTTGCTTTGGGGCAGGACCACCACATGTGAAGGAAGGTACCTTGTTTATGTTTGCACTTCCAACATTCGGGGTTCATATTTAGGTAAATTTTCGTCAATCTTGCTGGTGCTAGATGCCAGCGATAAAACATTTATAAAGGTTCTCCTTATGCACTGCAGCCGTAATTAATTTATAATTTTTGGTCCATAATTTTTCCCAATCTTCTAACTGCATATTATAGCCAAAAATTTTCACCCAGGCTACCATTGTTCCTTTAAGTTTCCTCATCCCTATCAAATTTGAGTAAATAATTATATATTTTGGTGATAAATTTATCTTCTGATCCTAATAAAATTTGGTCAATTTGTTGAGTGTTCTATCTATACCTTCTTCTATTCTTCTATATCCTTTTTAGATCTTGTTTGCAACTGCAAGTAAGGCCACCAATCTATCATTATTCCCTCTTCTCTCAGTTCTTGGTTCATCTTTAATCTACCTAGATTATCTAATAATTTACTGTACCTTATCTTTTTGGATTTATCTAATGTAATTGGATATATCATAGCTTCCATTGTTCATAACCATCCTTGGATTTTAATATAATGTTTTTTTATTTTCTCCCAAATTTGTAATAACACATCTCTAATGTGATGGTTTTGAAAGTGTAAATATGGTTTACTCTTTTTCCCCACAAGACATTGTGCCACCCTATTTGCAGATCATGCCCTTCCAATAGCTTACATAGAACATCTTACGAATGTATATTTTTGTAATCTACAAAAATATTTGTATGTTACCTGTTTTTAGCACTCCCTGTTTTTAAAACTGTTCCTGCTATAGATTTCAAAAAATTCAAATATCTTCACTTTTTATATACAACAATTCATGTTTCTCCTTTACTCACTCCCTTGGTACTTGAATGAATTATTGAATTGTGGATAAGAATTACTCTCAATTTTGATCATTCTCTTCAATCTAGATGTCTAGTTTTTCCTGTAAACAGTTTAGATGAGAGTCGATGTGGCTTTATGATTAGAGAGTTATTTTGAAACTAGACGGAGTAGAGGTGACAAGAAAGCAGTCTTTTAATACTTAACGAACTGTCACAGAGAAGGGGCACACCTATTCTCCAAAGCACCTAAGGGCAAAACAAGAAAGAATTAAGAAATTTGCTGACAATGAGAACAGTGGAAAGCTGTGGGTTCTCCATCACTGAAGGTTTTAAGAAAAGATTGGATAACCATTTGTCCAGCATGAGATAGAGTCTCCTATTCGAGCAGAAGGTTGAACTAGACCTCCAAAGTCACTTCCAACTCTGTGTTTTCTAAGATTTCTATAATCCAGATGGAAGATAACCTGTGAAACTCTATGGTGACTTTGAATTGAAGCTCTACTAAAGATTCATCTGGATTATGTCACATGCCATATCATGACATATCACATTTTTGGCCTTTGCAAAGCTGGGGTGGGTGTGGCCTGTGTGTGACACATCTGGCCCACAGGCCGCCAGTTTGATACCCTGATCTAAATAGGTGAATTATAAATGGAGGTTTTAGAAAATAGGATATAACAGTGCTGACATTGATAATAGTTTTTATTTTTTATTACATTTATTTGCTGCCCATCTTACATAAATGAGCTCACATTTAATTTTGAAATACATAAAAATACTGAAATTGCAATCATCTGCTTTTTCTTGAAGTAAATTTTATTGTCAAATAGTCAGATATGGATTTGAGCACACACAATAGAATTGCAGTAAACATAAAAAATAAAAACATGAAAAAAATATTTCAAACTTTCAGATATGCAAAATCTCTTTTTCTAAATTCCAGTTTTTCAGATCCTCTATTCACACCCAATATTTGATAATGTGGAAGAATTCTGGCATCCTACAGCATGCTAAAGGAGGAAAGTTGGATCTTTAAAAAGTGGTGCCTGGAATACTTGCAGTTCCTTAGTTATTGTAAGAAGTAAGTGAGTCATTTTCACATGCTATTCCAGCTCTTAGAGGGAAATTAGCTTCAAGTTTCCTTGCACTCTCCTCTTCAGCTTCTATTCCTCATCTCCTCAGCATGAAGTTGTTTGAACAGCAATAAGCTCTTTGGCAGATGTGTATTTTTCTTCCACTCTAGTTAGGCATGGAAAGGAGGAACAAGGTTGTATAAGCAGCTGGTAACCGAAATGCCTTATCGGTAAGGCCTATGTTTGAGAAAGAATGTCCGAATGGCAGCCCGGTTGACGCACAACTATCGAAAAGTAAGGCTGGAGCCAATAGAGAGGCAGCAAAAGAGAAAATGCGCCCTTTTACGATCCGCCAATAGTCCAGTTCTTTCCCTCGATCTCTCGAGGAGCGAGAAGGATATCGGCGCGCCTCGACGTTTATTCTCCCCTCAGGTTTCCGGACCTGATCCCCAAGGGCCAACCAAGCGCGAGTGGTAAACCTGAGCTAGCTCGCCTCTCCTCCACGAGGCTGCTCAGCCATCGCTCTGGCTATCCGCTAGGCTGCTGCCATCTCTGTGGAGCCCGGAGGCTGGGTGGAAAAATCGTCAGGTGGGCCAGAGGCTCAGCCCTGCCCTCCCGCAGGGCAGCGCGGAGCTGTTGATACCTACATTGCTCCTGGCAAAGCAGCGACCGACGGCGGGGCAGCGGCGGCCAAGAGATCCCGAGGCGGCGATGGCCAAAGCGGAGATCGCGATGGTACGCATCGGGTCTCGGGAGAGGGCGAGGGGGGCGTATTTCGACTTTGGGGACTCATCGGGGGCAACAGAAGCACGTGACCGTGCTCTCTCGGAGGGCTGTTGCGAGAGGGAAAAGCATTTCGACCCGTGCACCTCCTCCTCTCTTCAGGGCTGCGTGAGGCTTAGCCGGTTGACCTCTTGCTTCGGGCCACTCTCAGCAAGCCTCACACCTCACTGGGTTTTATTTCGCCCTCAGACTCCGGAGGATGGTGTCTGTTTATCAGTTGCCAAATTTTTCAGAGTTTTTCCACCTTTGTCCAAGCAAGCTCAGGAGGTGGGCCGCTTAGTTCCCGCAGTGCCCTTTTAATTGAACTGCAGGAGCTTGTATGGATCTTGTCTAAAGAAAACCCCTTCAGCCGGCAGTCCGAAACTTAGCGACCTGAAGGACGATCTCCTTATCGAATTACTTCGATAAGAGGCAGAACTGCTGATTTAACCCCTTCTCTCTTCTTGCCCATAGAGAAAAAATGGACTATTAATATTAGTAATGGCGCAGACGTTTTATTCCCACAGCAATAGCTGGTTGATGGGAGGCATGTTGGAAGTACCCAAAATTTTTGACCTCCTGTAAAGAATTAAGCATCAACCATTTTAAAGAGGAATGATTAAAATCCATCATCACCATCACCTTAAACCTAAAAACCTGGCTTGAGGTCCCTTACTTTGACCTTATAATTCACTTCAGGGTAAAGAGTAAAGATTTCTCTTCAACAACCCAAAAAAGAACATGCATGTCAGGGAATATATAAAGAAAAGCAGGGCAGAGAATTGGGATGTGTATTAATATAACAAGGGGAAATATTTGAAAATTTGTAAAATATTGTTAATATTTTAGAGCAAGATCATGTTTCCTCCCCATATACATAGCAGTGCTGCCTTTATGAAAACACTTATTGTCAATATTCTTATCTGGTGCAGCAATTATTTAAAGTTGGTAATAATTGACAATTGGTATGTTGCATCTTATATATGAAAATCTGAGACAGGGAGATTGAGCAATGTATTAGTAAATTTACTTATGTACTTTTATTTCATAAACTTGTGCCTTTGTAGAGTAATTCCAGCTGATATAGAAAATAGAGATGTGTGGCTTTGAGAAGTAAGAAGAAAGATACAGCAATTTTCTTTCGTGCCAATGTTGAAGGATGCCAACATTTACTGAAACATGCCCTGCCTAGTGCCTGGCACCAGGCAGTGCACAGATGGTGGTAGTATTACATTCACACCTCTTGCCAGACCGGTCCTGTGGCTTTCCTCTATAGGGAATGTCAAAGAAGGTCACGAGTGAAACCGCAGTAACTGGATCAAGAAGCAAGGCCAAGAGGGCAGAATGTCTCTCCCAGAGCCATGTTTGATTGTGCATTTTGGTGGTGGCTTTCCCACTGAGGAGAGGATTACGTTTGGATATGCACATATGGCGTGAGGGAAGGTGGTGGAATGGCTGTGTACAAATTTCATTCCAAGAGAAGAAGGAGAGACTTCTGTGATACTCCTTTCACCAAAATGAAAGACCTATTTATTTATTTATTTGTTTGTTTATTACATTTTTATATTTTTATACAGTATATTAAGCAGTTGGTGAAACTTAACTGACATAAAGACTGCTGAAAGCTTCTCAATAGTGGAATGATTCATTTTGAAATGAAGAACTCATTGATATTGCAAAGGCTTGGCTCCTAAGAATCTGTAATTATGTACCCATTAAATACAATATTAATATTCAATTTCTGTGTAATTGCTCTCTACTCAGCAAGGCTAATAAAAAACTAAACAATAAAACAAAGCCATCCAAATTAAGTGCATGTTTAATATAATTTTGCAGCTTATGGGAATAACTACCTCTTAAACTGTATATAGTTAATATAAGATAATGTAAGATAAGATTCACACAACTACATGGTGTTTACTGAAGAAAAAGTTTAATTTGAACAAAGAACATTGGACAAAAGATCTTAATTAACTAATTAGCTCTTAATTAAAGATCTAAACAGAGATCACAAGACTTGTGTATCATATTTACAGTAAGTTAGCCCTGATTTATTTCTACCCAGTTTTCTGTGCTTGGCAAGTGCTCTAGAGCAGGGGTCCTCAACTCATGGGCCACAGCCTGTTTGGAACTGGCTGCGCAAGCAGCAAGTGCACAAACTTATGCATGCAGCTCCATTTGCATGAGTGGCGGCTAGTGTGTGTGTGTGTGCACACACGCACGCACGCGTCTGTGTATGAAGCTCCATTTGTGTGAGTGACAGGCACCCCGCCACTCATACAAATGGAGCTTTATTCACACGTGCATGAGTGCCTGCCATTTGCGCAAATGGAGCTGCATGCGTGGAACCATTTCCTCTTCTGCTGGTGCACGAAGCCGGAAAGGTTGGGGAACCACTGCTCTAGAGGAGTATCTGTTGATTAGCCTGTGGCTTCTAATGTAGCTCTATCATTTATAGGCAAAACATTTCCAATATACCTACCTCTCCATACCAAAGGGTTCTCTCTATAGCTACATATTCAAGAACAGTTGTTTATATGACTAGGAATTCCAGGAAGGGTTTTGGAAATCTGTGAAGATAGCCCCTCGATCCTTTTCCTCTGTCATCCAGAACTAAGAATGCTCTGTATCCAGTGATTGCAGGAGGAAAGACTGAAATCCATAGATCATTCAGAGGACTGACATTTAATGCTATCAACTTCTGCCTTCTTGATCTCTCTGCTCAAGCTATCTGGTATAAGGACTTCAACCTGGCAGACAAATTATATGGCTGGGAACAGTAAGACTATACAAGTGGACTCATGGCTACTCTTGCACTCCAAAGCACTCTGCTTCCAATAGTCAAGAACTTTTTTCCAATCTCAGTTCTTTCAGAAGAGGTTTCAACAAAGAAAATAGGGAAGGGGGAGAGAGAGGGGGAAAGAAAAAAGGAGAGAGGGAGAGGGAGGGAAAGAGGAGGGATGGATTCTAACTGATGTTCCAGCTATGTTTCTTACTCCAGGCTCCTCCAGGCCAGGAGAAAGCTACATATTGAGACAACCAGAGTATGTACTATGGGCTGCCTTGTTCTTACATACTATGTACACTGCATAGCACCTGCAACTTATTTGCAGAGGAAGAATGAGGAAATTATAAAAACACAAAGCACATCCCTCCAATTACTGTATGGGTTGCAGGCAGGATCACTAGGATCTCAGGAGTATTATAATAGTATTAGGTCTTGGCTGACTTCATAAGCATCTGCTCCTTAGCAGTATAGCATGGAAGTGAAGCAGGGAGACACTTATTTCATCTCCACAACCCTCTCTATGGAAGTCATCCTTTGGGATTGTGAGCGTGTGAGTCTGTGTTTCCAGGTCTGCACCTGATCTGGAGAATGTGAAATTTCATGTGTTAGAGTTCTGGAAACTATGTTTAATGTTTCTTAGCTCCCCCACCTCTTTGATTTTAGTACTGGAAAGATAATAGTTATGTTAATTAGGGATACATTAGTTAATCTATTTCTAGTCCATGGCATTTCTTCTTAAATATCTATGAATAAATACATTATGATCAGATTGCCCCACTGATTTGTAATTTTTCAAAATATACTGCATCAAATAATATTTTAAAACATTTTAATTTGTATTTCAATTTTTGACAAAATACATTTTTCTAAAAATACCTCACCATTAAATATATATTATTTTTATGTAGGTCTTGGTGCATATTTTTGATTAAGAATCACATCACAATATTTGGAGACATATGAAATCAAAAAGTTAATTCCATTTAATCTGCATGTTCACTTAGGAGGTATAGGTCAGGTCATTGGCTTCCAAAGATAGACTGATTACACCTTTATAGATGGCCTTTTTTCTTACTGGCAAATCTTATTCATAAACAGATCTCTGGGTTTATTTATGGCTTACCTTTTGCCTCAATGTGCTGAAAATGACTAAGCCTAATAAAAGATATGGTACTCTTATGTTACAACAATTTTGAGTGAGATAAGATTGGGTTTCCTAACCCTCTGAAGCAAGGAAAGGGCCTTTTCACAAAATACACATTTATCAGGCAAACAAATGAGGCTGCCTAATCCCAATCTGAGTTGGTTTCCTGCTCTTTAAGACTTTCATTATGACCTTTTGCAACTCACCTTGCCTTTTTTTTCTGGTGGGCCAGCACATCACCTATCCTTTTTAATTTCTAAGAATACCTCTGGGGCTTACATAGGAATAGAAGCATTCTTGAAAACCAGGATGGGGCTGGAAGCTAATTCATTCTCTAGCTTATTCCTTACCTTTCACCAGACGCCCTTACAGCAGTGGGGAGAAGAGGCTGAAGATGGAGCCATCTATAGCATCATCCTTGAGCGAGTGAAGGCAGAGCCTGCAGCCAGAGGAACATCTTCCTTGGTAGGTTCTGTTATCATTCAAAGAAGAACAAGAACCTCTCCTTTTTTATCACAAGGGAAAGAAATTAGTGGAGGTCAGGAGGAAAAAGTAATTCACTGAAAGTGAGACATTTTTCATGCAGTTGGTCTTAAGTTAATCATTTTGAAAAGTTTTTCATTCCATTGAAATGATAGAACCTATCCCTAGGTTTAATGTTACCTGGAGGAAAGGGCACTTAGTGGCCAATGGCCGCAATGGCTACATGATACTTATAGTATCTGATCCAACCTACAGCTCAATACCAGTTACCAGAAAAGTGATGCTGCCTTATAATACTTTGGACTTCCAAGGCTCCAATGATCCTGCACTTAGAGCAGAGAATGCTGGGCTAGATGGGCCTTTGAACTGATCATAATGACTCCTTAAACACAAGCATGTGATTTTCTTGGCAGCAGTACAGAAATGGGTTGTCTTTACCTTCTGCTGGTAAGGCCCTGAGATATGCCGATGGTCTCCTACTTAATGTCCCATTCTGCTAAACCCTTCAATGTCCCATTATGTTTAACCCTTTCGGATCAGTCAAAGAGCCGCCATTTACTTTGGCAAGCTTCAAATATATACTTTTGACTTATTTATATGCAAGAGCAGTGTTGTTGCATGACTTACCATTTATCTCATGCCTACCCTTTTCCCAGAAGAAGCATCCAGAAACATCAGAATGTCCTTTTGTCCAGTATCGTACTTGCAAGAGGCGTACATTGCGGGCTGCCACACTCCCTCAGCTAGTGAAATGGCTGCTGACAGCCAACAAGGAGGGTGACCTCAACTACACATCTAGCTTCCTGGCTACCTATCAAGCCTTTGCTACTCTCATGCAGGTGTTGGAGTTGCTGCTGCCTCTTGGACCAGACAAGTGAGCCACTGAGACAGGGTGGATGGTGTAGATGTGGAGAACACAGGAGGCTCCCAATTCAGATCTCCAAGGAAGGATTGAATTAGGAACTTGGCAGAACAGAAGTAGAGAATATTCTTCTGCTGCTTCTGGCAGCTTCCCTGTAGATAGACTCTTTCATGCCAGCATAGCTCAATGTAGCTTCATAAAAATCTAATTATTGACTCAAAGCATATGGCACAAAGAATACCAGGAAACAGCTGGCAATAAAAGACAGCATGATTGCAGGACAAAACAGTCACAAATGTTCAGTTATAGAGCATAATCCACCAGGCTTTTGATTTATCATATTGCAAGAGTCCACTTTGTTTGTTTGACATGTTTACCGCCTATCTCACACAGAGGCGACTATGGGTAGGCTTACAAACATTATCTTTGAGTCATCCTTATTTGTGAGATCTCAACTCCCAGAATTCTTAGCAGTAGCCATGCTGAGTGAGGAATTCTCCACCCATCTGGAGGGAAAAGGTGATTTATGCATAGTACTGTACATTTTGTGGACCCATACGAACAATTCCACCTAGTGGTTAATCTGAGAGTTTCAAATGATTGCTTGTATCAAAAACTAGCCCAGAGTCATTAGTTCTAGCTGCTCTGAGTCTAAATTATGATGCTCAATAGGAGATAAGTGATAAAACTCCTGCTGCTGCACAAGGATGCCCTACAGTAATTAAGACTTTAAAAAAAAGTAAGAATGTTCTGCCTTCAACAATATGATTGAGTAGTAAAAGAAAATATTTCCAAGAAGAGGAACAGAAGCAGGGGAAATGTTATTGTTTAAAAATCTCCTTTCATGTCTTTGGGGGGAAAGGGAGGTTCTTATGAGAAGAGGGCATGCAAGAAAAACATTACAGGTGGTCCTTGACTTACACGTATTTGTTTAGCAAGCTTTGAAGTTACAGCATCACTGAAAAAGTGACTTACAATCTATCTTCACATTTACAATAGCTGCAGCTCCTCACAGTCACAAGATCAAAATTTGGGTGTTTGGCAATTGGCATGTGATCACCATTTCTGACCTTCAGAATCCATTTCTGACAAGCAAAGTCATTTGGGAAAGTTGGATTTGGTTAACAACCACATGATTCACTTAACAATTAAACAATTAAATACTTAAACTCACTTAACAATTGCCTTGCTTAACAATGGAAATTCTGGTCCCAATTGTGAAAGTTGAGGACTACCTCTAGGTACCAGATTAATGTGAACCTTGATACGGGAGGGGCAACTTTATTGAGTGAGATGATTAGAGTAAAATAGGGACAGTTGAAAGCCAGGAGTGGCTTGTGTGGAACAAGAGTATCACCCATGGCTTGGGGTGAGTGTGGATCAGGAGCTGATTGTATTTCTTTTCTGACTGCAGGGCTGTACTCCTTGTATTGGAACAGTGGCTACGGCAGCACCCTCAGGATTTCTGGGAACCTCCAGAGTATCCTAATCTGCACAAAATCTTGTGTTTTCTTCATCAATCTGCTCCTAACTCCCCAGTGTGTGCTTTGGCAATGGGATTGCTACAAGCCCACAAAGAAAAGGAGGCATATGGTAAGAATAATTTAGGACCAAAATTGCCAAGCATGACCTATTTTCTCAGAGTTTCTAGTCTGGATCTATCCATTCTGACTTCTGCTCCCATCAATATGCTACTGTTCTCAGGTGGAGGTGTTGTTTTCATATCTCTGACATGTCTGGTTTGATTCAGCTCCCTGAAACCCAAACCCAGTTCCTCACTGGCTAAATTAATTCAAATTTAAGGATGAAAGGAGATACATACCAGCTATGCTCTGGGTATGCCTGCCTGTCCACACAGAAAACTATGTTACTGCACTGAGTTTTTGGCCATAACCCTTTTGTTTCCAACAGATGCTATCATCCAACAACACCAATTTGGGAACAAAAGCACCAACATTTGTGGTTCAAATAAATAGCAATAGCACTTAGACTTATACACCATTTCACAGTGCTTTACAGGCTTCTCTAAGTGGTTTACAGAGTCAGCATATTACCCCCAACAATCTGGGTCCTCATCTTACAGATCTAGGAAGGATGGAAGGCTGACTCAACCTTGAGCTGGTGAGAATTGAACAGCTGAACTGCTGGCAGCTGGCTGTCAACAGAAGTAGCTTGTACTGCATACTAACCATTGCGCCATCATAGCTCTTAATAAATACATGTGTTAGTATTACTGTACATATGTAATACATTATTTAAAATGGATCAAATTATAGCCTGTGCTCTCAAATCAATATGGTTGCACAGATTTTGTAAAAGTCTCTCAGCTCAACGGAACAGAATATGAATGGTGTTTGCCTTCTCATTGTGTAATCCCAGGAGCGGACAGGCACTAGGTTAGTCTGAGCTGAAATTATCTATTGGCCCTTCTGCTTATCAACCCAGGGTATCATCCAGCTCATACTTATGCCTTTTTTGAAATTGCTATTATTTTCTACAACAGCCTTTTTTAAACCGGTGCCTCTCAGATGCTGAGGCTAAAACTCCCATCATCTCAGCCCATCATGTAGTGATGTGCTGTAAGAATAAGGAGCATTATCTTCTAGTTCCCTGCTGCTGGAAGAGGTGGTAAATTAACACCTCTGGGGAACACAGAATGAAATGGTAAAAGTTTGAACTGTACCTCTTTCTGCTGCAGATGAGAAACGGTTTGGCCTGTTTTTTTTAATGTTCCTTTTTTATAAAAGGCTATTTGTAGCAAACTAAAACATCAGGAAAGGATTGTTGCTATGTTGACTGGAGCTACTGAGCACTGTATTTCAACAGACCCCGGAGTTTCCCACATATGTGATTAAGCATGCGGGCTAGGCAGGCTTGCTATTTCCACAAAGGAAGTTTCAAATTGCAATCCTTTTCCTTTATAGAAGCAAAAAGGCATGCATCACCTTAGTTACAGAGAATAAGAATTACAGTGGACTGGTGAAGGCAGCTTTAGTCAATGAGATAAAAGTTCTTTAATTCTGAATCTAGCTAGCCCTCTTGGTTTATTTGGATATGCAATGGAAATAACGTGTTTCTCATATAATAAGGCTGGGTCTTATTTTTTTTTTGAGCCCCGAAAAAATGGCTAGGCTGTCTTTTCGGGGGTGACTTAATTCTCCCCCTTGCATCTTTGGGCGGGCGGGCAGCGACGGCTTGGATGTTGACCTCGGCGTTGGTGGGGCACTTTGTATCAGGGTCAACGCAGGCAGCACCATATCCAGGTGTGCAACAAAAGTACTTCCTAACGGCAAGCCCCCCCCCATTCCCCCATTTCACATGTTTTAATATAGGCCTTAATTTGGGGGGAGGGGCTTAATTTCATTTCATGCCTATAAAACAAGTTGGGACTTCCTATTGGGGGAGGCCGTATTGTTGGAGAAATAGGGTACTATCCTCTATTCTGTTCTCTAAGAAACACCATTCTGATACAAAAGAAAATGTTAAAATAATAGAACAAAATAAAATACATTATACCAAAAACTGAGAACTATACATATAATACCTATGTAGCCATGGCCTAGAAGGTGATCCAAATCTTCACAGTCTTTTTAAAGGCCAGCAGGGTTAACACCAGCCAAATTTTAGGTGGGTGCACTTCCATGGAACAGGTGCAATGACAGAGAAGACATACCTTCTAGCTTCCATTTGTGATACTGCTTACTTGATGGGACCTGGTGCATGCCAACCCTATTATATATTGTAGGTTGGACAGAAGATTCCACAACTATCCAGTCCCTGTGCAATGTAAGGCTTTATAGGTAACCACCAGTACCTTAGAATTACATCTACTGATAACCAGTGTGGCTCACAGAGTAATTGTTATATCTGGACTAACCAATGTGCACCCATAACTATTTATCTTGCTGTCTTCTGGACCAGATGAAAATTCCCAACACATAGAATCAATTTCCCAAGGCAGGAGTCATTTCAAGAAACTTCAGTGGCAACCTCTATGAAGTGTGTTGCATAGTCCACATAAGAGGTAACTGTAAGTAGGACTCCCTGACCCTACTTACAACAATTGGCACATAAGAATAAGTTGTGCAAAGGCCCTCACAGACATACTGTAGCTGTACCTGCTATTTTAACAGGAGACAGGAGTCTAATGATTATCTGCTCCTGCTGGATTATATTTAAATTTCATGTAACTTATGTACTGTAAGGAATGAAGAACAGAGAAATGTGCTGCATTCTGTTCTGCTAAAGAAATTAAAATCTGTCAGTACAGAACTCCCAAGAATCAGTGCGTGGGTACAAATAAATTAAGCAGTCATTTTAGGCATTAAATTTACCAGAATAGTATATCATATAGTGTTCTTAAAGTTCTCAGTGTAGACAGATAGAGATGTTACATTATATGGAAGCCATGTAAAACCCTATATATGAGGCCATGCAATCTTTCTCTAGTCTATTCTGAGAGTTTAAAGATTTAGAAGTAACCAGGTCCTGGTACTCACAGGGCAGAAGAAGGAATATGTAACTTTAATACTGAAAGATAAGGGGGAATAAGAATATTATGATACCTGGAATAAGTTTTACCTGTGGTTGCAAAAAAGAGGGGAAGGTCGGACCAAAAATAGCTAGGAGGATTAGAATCAAAATGTAAATATGGGACCAATAATTAGAATGTTAATGGTTTGGTTATATTTTTGTATGTAAGGCAAAGTAATGCCAAAATGGTTGCACTGTGCTTGATACTTATAGTTATAAACAATACAAATATATATTTTAAAAAAGGAATATGTAGAATATATTCAAACAGCCACATATGCCATCTACCATATATGGCTGTTTGGATATATTCTACACATTCCTTCTTATGCCTGGTGAGTACAGGACCCGGATACTCCTAAACCTAATGCACTGTTATGAAGTTATACAAATAAATTCAATTCCTGATGGAGGTTTTGATCCCCATAGACTAACATAACGGATCTAGTGGTCTAGAGATACCCTAGTCACCTCTTGTTTGGATTTCTATAATGTGGTCTACACAGGGCAACTCTTGAAGAGTTTTCAGAGGTCACAAATGGTACAGAATGATTTGGCACAGACAGTTCTGGGGGCCTCTAGGGTGGAACATGTAACACCATTGTTACACAAACACCATTAATTGCTGGTTTGCTTCTGAATCCAATTCAAGGTGTTAATTATCACCTTTAAAACCCTTTATGGCATGGGACCAGATTGTCTGAGGAACCATCTCATCACAATGGGATTGGCCAACTTCAGCTGCTCCAGCAAAAGAGGCCTTCTTCAGACCCTGTTGGCTCAAAACTTTAAGCTAATGGGGTCCAGGAGAAAAACCTTCTCTGCTATGGCTCCCTCTCTCTGGAGTAATTTGCCACTAGAGGTAAGATCAACTTCCACCCTTCTGGCTTTCCAGAGGGCCTTTAAAACATGGCTCTGCCAGTTGGCTTAGTGTCCTGATAGGGGCACATTATGCTGGAGTTGGCTGGTTGAGTGACCCCCATTCCATCTGCATTTTTGGCTTTTAGCCTTAATCGTTGTTAATTTTAATGTTTTCATATTTATGTTTTTATATAACTGTAAGCTGTCCAGAGTGACTTGGGATAGTGAGACAGAGGGATATTACTTACTTACTTACTTACTTACTTAATTAATTAATTAATTATGCATGATCCAAAGAGACCTTTAAAAGACTGTTTATATAACATACTCTTGAAACAAGCCACAACTGGCACATCATCTCCCAGAAGTCCAGAAGTTCTTCAGGAAGTAAATATTAAAAGCTAGTGTGCAATGAGTGTTTTTGATGCTGGCATTTTGGTCTCATGCAATAGCTTTCTTACAGCCATTGCTTGAATCCTCTTTTTTCTATTTTCCTACAGGAGGCAATTCTTCAGGGATGAGACCATCACAGGTGATCACAGAGGCAGCTGAGACAGATAACTGTGAGGAGACACCAGCACTGATGTCCTTCTCTGTGGATGAAGTGGCCGAACAGCTGACACTGATGGATGCTGTAAGACCTGTTGGGACCAGGGATTGAAAATAACTTGGAAAAGAAAACAGACTATGGCTATGATGAATAGGGTAGTTCTGAAACCCTTTTGAAATTGGCTAGATGACAGAAAAGAGAACCTATGTCACTTTTTGCAGTTCTGATAGGCAGCATTTTGGTGACCATGAGCTACATTTTATGTTGTAAAGAGGGGGTACTAAGGACCATAAAGTGGATGGGATGGATGCAGCTGCTGTGGGGGTGAATTTGCTTTGCAATATGTCTTGTTTGAGGCCTTGGATCTTGAAAACCTGCTCTGAAATCACTTAATGCACTGGATGGTCCTCAAATGGTGCTGAGTTCCTCCTTTCTCCTTCCCTTTCCCCAGCACCTGTTTAGAGCAGTGCTACCCTTCCACTGCCTTGGCTGCATTTGGTCCCAGCGAGACAAGAAGGAGAATCAGCACATGGCTCCTAGTGTCCGTGCTACTGTGACCCAGTTTAATGCAGTCACCAGCTGTGTCATCACATCTGTGCTGGGGGATGTGGCTATGCGCATTCCCCAGCGTGCATACCTGCTGGAGAAATGGATCCAAATTGCTGGAGTAAGTCAGGAAGAGGGTTGAAGTGGTGGCAGTGGGAAAATGAAGCAGGGCTGAGCATCTCTTGGGAGACTGTGAATCAGAGATGTAGTGACTGCCCAGGTGCATTCCTTATTTGTGACTATTTCTTGGCAATGTTTATCACTAATGCCTCTTGCAAACTTTTCCAATTGTCATCCCTGAAAGGGTTTTCTTGTTTTTCTGCATGAGGTGAATTCTTCTCAATTATTGTATACTCTGAGCCTGTACATTTCTGTTCCCCAAAGTAAAGGAATCCTGAGTTTTTTGGAGGAATACAAAAAATAGGGTGGAAAACTGCAAGTGGGAAAATTAAGCATGCTTGACGGGCACATAATGCATATGGACAATTGCAGGGCAGGCAAGAGGAGCAAAACATTGAGTGGGAAACTACATTGGCCAATGTTGGTGTGGCTGTAGAGAAAATGGAAAGAGGGTGTACTTAACTAAGGCTGATTATCAGCAGATAGACAGAACATGCAAAAATGAAGTCAGGAAAGCAAAGGCTCAGAATGAACAATAACTTGCAACAAAAGTCAAAGATAATTTAAAAAGTTTATTTCAACATATTAGTAACAAGAAAAAAGTCAAGGAAACAGTAGGTCCACTAAAGAGAAGATGGCAAGAAAGTAACAGGAAGTAGGGAGAAAGCAGAGCTGCTTAAACCGTTCTTCGTATCAAAAAGAAATTATAGCCCAATGTACCAAAAAATTCCTGTAAAAGACAAACTAGAAATAAAATTAAAATAAGCAAGAAAGTGGTAAGACAACACCTATCCGACCTTCCTTTTTTGCAATTTTTTTTTTGTTACAACAAAAATCAATGTGTGAACTGTGTGGTTCCATAGTGTCTTACATTTTGATACAAATGTGGCAATTTTCCTCTTACTTAATATAGTTGACAATTTTTCAAATTTGATATTAATACATATAATTATTAAATCTTAGTTATTCAATATTACAGTATGTTATTTTTATGTCAATCTCTATATTCTTAACCTCACTTCTTTTACTACCAATTATATATTAATAATCATATTTGCAGTGTTTACCTAATTATATAATTCTAATAGCATTTCACAAATTTATAAATTATAAATTTCTATTATATATTCCCTTATTAATTTGAGTAGCCACTATTATATTCAAAAAAGAAAAATTCCCCTTTCAAGTCACATTTTAATACAAATACAATAACATTAATCATTCTTACATTTAACAATTTATACAATTCTAATAATACCATTATATTTTTTAAAAATTTTGCCTTTCATTGTCTTGTATAATACTTCACAATGTTCTTCTTTTCTTTTTAACCATCATCTCTTATTTGCATTAAAGCTCTGGTTTTTTGCTTCTTAGCTTGTCTCCCATGTTCCTCTCTTATATTTTCATTTCTTTCTTTTTTTTAAATAAAGTTTTATTTGGGTTTTCACACACAAAATATAAGTAAAACATCTTTTTTGAAAATAGCATGGTCCCGGGTTGAACTTCTTTATACAGACACAAAACTCAATTTCATGTTTCTTTTTGTATTCTATTCCATATCTTATACTAATTTACATTTTCTATATAGCTTTCCCCTCTTTTAATTTTCTCAATTTTATTTTGATTATCTCATCTCAATTCAAATCATATACTTTTGTCTGTTCTGTTTCAATTTCATATTAACTTTTCTCATTAAACAAATTTTCTCCTGTAGTTACTAATTGGAGTATGACACCTTTATATCTTTTAATTACATCCATTCAACTCTTACTTAAACTTCAATATATACCTTAAGTTTAAGACCTTCAATATAATACATAATATATAACTTCCAATCAAATTCTGCTTGGCACATTCTTATAATACACACTATATTCTTTAAAAGAAAGAAAGATTGTAAATATATGTAATTATAAACCCTCATTCCATTCCAGTTCAGTTCTATCATTAATAATCATTAAAACCATAACATCTTTAACACTTCTTTTCAATTAAATATCATACTTCCTTAAAAACACATATAATCTCCATCATTAATTTTTCCCTTATTTCTCTTCACACATGTTTTATAAATCATTCAATATTCCTTTTGTTACATTTATTTATTTGCAAGCATTCCACTGAATTACGATAGCTATTTTATCAGACATTTTAGTCATACATTGTTTCATATTTTCTAAAATTATTTCTGCTTCTAATATAACCATACTATCTTATGTACCTTTGCAGAATCCCTTTTTCCATTAAGTTTTCACCCATTATCTCTAAATAGACCCTGTTTCTCTATATTTTGCTTCTGTCCTTTATAACTTCTTTTCCTTTCTTTCTTCCCTCTCATCTTCTCCCTCCCCTTTTTACCCCCTTGTCTCTCTAGTTCTAATTCTCTCTTCTGCATTTCCCTCTTCTGTTGCTTTCTGATTTTATACTTATTTTTCACTCTATTTTTTTGGAGTTGTTTTTCCCAATCTTAAACTTTCCATTCTCTTTCTCCCCTTTCCTTTTTTCCCCCCATCTAAGATTACTTGTTCATTAAAGATGGCTTCTTCTTTGTCGCAAACTTCTTGTTCTGCAGGCATTTCTTGTTGTTTCTCATAATTCCAAATCTCCATTTCTAAAAACTGAAATACGAAGCCAAAAGAACCTCTCCCTTCTTGTGCATCTTCTTTGTACTTTATAAGTTCCATTTTCAGTTCTTCTAAAAGTGGAGCCATTTTAAAAAGTTTTAAACAACCACCCGATTGATTTTAGTCATTCAAAACAATAACCAAGAATCCAGAAATCATCAAATAATCCAGATAGTCCCGAGTTATATCTTCTTATTTCTTTTTTGACTTTCTCTTCCTGGGGTTTTTGTTGTGATATTTCAGTTAGAATGTATTTTTTGGAAGTCTTGTTGAGATTTTGCTGCAAGTTCTTTTTTAATTCCAGGCAGTCTCCTCCCTTCCAGATCCTGCCCTTTTATTCTTCCTCTTTCCTTTCCTGTTTTCAAAAGCTTTTAATTATCCAGAAATCTTTATTATCCCTTTGACTTTTTATTTTCAGCATTAAATGCCTATTGATGTCAAAGTGGATTTTTTTCCAATTTCTTGTTTAAGTCTCTTAGTTGTCAGTATAGGAAAAGGAGAAAACCAAATCTTTTCCCTTTTCTCTCTCCTTCGCAGCTTAAAAATCTTCTTAGGGAACAATGTTATTGTTTTTTAATAGTTTCAATTCCAGGTTACCTTATTTGTTGTTTTTGCTGTTTGACCTGGTCAACCAAAACTTTCTCTACTTATCTTCCTCCTGCACATTCTTTTCTGGTCAAGTTCTTCTTTGTGGTGGCCATTTCTGTCCACCGCTGCAAACGCCTTCGGGAAAGGGAGTAATGGCCAGCTGGGGAGGAGAGATGCAGCTCTCCTCAACCCTGCTGGCAGTCTCCCCCCTCTTCACCACCTCTATGGGGTGGCTTAGCCCCGAAACCAGCCGGCTTGGGGTGCTCCAGCGGCGAGCATGGATCGAAGCCTCGCAGAGATGAGGTTTCGGTCTGGCACTGAAGAAGCTCAAACCGGAAGTCCTTATATATTTCCATTTCTATACCACGTCTTGACCTTTATTTTTAAACATTTCTTCCTCCTCTATTATGCCATTGTCTCATTTCCAAGTTATTTACTCTCATCCCTATCTTTCTCCCAAAGATTTCTCTTTGCAATTCCAATTCCTGTTTAATTACCTTTACAGTACTCTCTCCTCGGTTTACATCAATCATTATATTTATTTTTATTTCCTTTTTATCTTTAGTTCCTCTTTCAATTGGCTCCTCCTCTTCCTGGTCCTCTTACTTTCTTCTTGTCATTTCTATCTCAATTTCCAGCTCTGTGTCCATGTTTTTATTTTATTCAAAATGTTCTCAATGTTCTCTGTGTATCTTTTATTTCCTGAAAATCCAATGCAATTTCTTTGCAAATGTCACTCATCTTTGTTCTTGTTTCTTTTATTTCTTCCCAGCCAATTGTCCAATTGTCCAACTGTTCTTTATCCAAGTTAAAGCCATTTTTCAAACTAAAAAAACAATGTCCAATGTTCAAGGATTGTTGTGTCCTGAAATTAATCAATCTAATCTTTTAAATGGTTCAAGGGTGAAATCTTCATACATTCCTCTACCGGTTGAGTCTTATATTGTAGCTTTCAGGGGTCTTTCAATAATAAAATAATAAATAATCATTTTTAATTATCGTAACACCAAGTCTTTTCCAAACTTTGGGGAATCTGGTTTTTTTTTTCCTTTTGACAGTAGGTGGCATTCTTAAATCAGTTTTCACTTTATTCCAATCTTTAAGTCTAATTTTCTGTATTTTACTCCAATAGTTAGAAGGCAGCCCTTAATATATTAATAAGTCCACTTTTCTGAATATTCTTCTCAGGGTTATATTTTAAATTAAAAAGGATAGTTCTTACCCAGTTCCACAATGTAAACTAACTCTGCTCCTGCACTCTTCTTAAGTTGAAGCTGTCTCCAGCTGTGTGGTGGCCATTTTGGCCACCTCTTCTTCATGTCGTGGCTTAGAGAGCAATAGCCTGGGCCTGAGGGCTCTACAAGGAAGTTGCATTCTCCCCTGGAACCTCACAAGGCACCGCTCTTTTGCTTCACTACCCCTTCAGGGTGGTTTTGGCCTCCTCTGGAGCCCACGAACACACAGAAATCCAACCCAGGGATGGAGAGCTCAGTTCCCTTGCTACTGATGTCACTGCAATGTCACTTCTGGTCTCCCCGACCTTGACAAATATAAATCACTGGGACCTGACAGACTACATCCCAGAGTACTGAAGGAGCTGGCAGATGTTATCTCAGAACCATTGTACCATATCTTTCAAAAATCCTGGAGCACTGAGGAAGTACCTGAGGATTGGGAAAGGGCTGATGTGGTTTCCATCTTCAAGAAAAGAAAAAAACAGACCCAAGAAACTACAGACCAATTAGTCTAACAACAATACCTGGGAAGATCCTGGAAAAGATAAGAAACAGATCTGCAAATAAAGTTATAACTAGTAGTCAGCATGGGTTTATTAAAAACAGATCATGTCAAACCAATCCTATTTCATTATTTGATAGAGTGACTAAATTGGTAGACAGCGAAATAGTACACTTAGATTTCAGTAAGATGTTTGACAAAGTAGACTACAACCTACTTCTTGGTAAGCTAGAAAAATGTGGAACAGATAATATCGCCAACAGATGGATTTGTAGCTGGCTGACAAACTGTACTCAGTGAGTAGTCCTTAATGGTACTACATCCGCATGAACAGAAGTAAGCAGTGGGATACCACAAGGCTCCATCTTAGGCCTAGTACTCTTCAATACCCTCATAAATGACTTAGATGAGGGAATAGAAGGGGAACTCATCAAATTTCCAGATGACATTAAACTGGCAGGAATAGCCAATACCCCTGAAGACAAGCTCAGGATCCAAAAAGTTCTCCTGGTTGAGCAGGGAGCTGGACTAGAAGACCTCCAAGGTCCCTTCCAATTCTATTCTATTCCAAAAGGGCAGAGATTGAGAGAGGAAGGTAATCCTATGGCCTCAGTATTGGTCAGCTGGTTGTCAGAATAAATGCCTCTTTTAAATTCCATAAAATCTGGTAGGGTTCCTTGAGTGCCTTTAGTTAGGCACAACAAGCAACTTTATAGTTCTATAGGGAACTTTAGATTACTGTAGTGTTGAAGTATCTTATACTATGTTTTGTAGATATGTATACAAGGAAAGGTCAGAGTTAGATATGGCAATGAACATGACACAACTGGGATCTCTGTTGGACAGTCATTGGTGCAATCCAACTTTGACATATTTAGACGAATCTGACATCAACCTAGGTCCCGAATAATCAGTAGCTGGTTTTAATTATCATGCCCATGGTTGGGTTATGAAGATAGGCCCATCTGCATTCTATCTTGGTTAGTTTCTTGGAAGAGTAAGCACTTGACTGCAGGATCCCTTGATCATTTTTCTACAGCAAAACGGTACCCACTGTTACATCACTAGCATCTGCCTGGATGACAAAGGGGGAATTCAGGTCCAGGTACCTCAGCGCAAGCTCATGTTTGAGCTTTTCTTTTTTGTGTGTGTGTGTATATACATACATAAATACATACATACATACATACATACATACTCATAAACATTTTGAATACAGTTTATAGACAGGGCATATCATTTACAGAAAAGCAAAAGAAGGACAAAAAGAAATAGTAACATATATACTAATAACAATAGTAATGGTTATAACAGAATATTTTAAACTAAATTTCTCTTTATATTAGCTTATTTATAATTCTGTTAGTTATATTGGCATATTTATAATTATAAACCATCTTTATATTTAATTCATAGATAGCAATAATCTTTCTTCATCTAATTTCTACCTCTTATCTCTAACCACTCCTAAAATCTATTCCATGTTCGGTAATATTGTGTATATTCTTTGTCCTTAATTTTTAATATCAATCTATCCACCTCTGCAGAGTCCAATTTTTTCCAAATTACATCCTCATCAGCTTCTAGCATGTACCTGAAGTTTTTAGAGATGGATATTTTGTACCCATTAGGAAAGACTGGGCCAATCTACTCAAAAACAAAACACCTTCCGCTCCAGTTGATGGGATTAAGAAGGACAGGTCATGACTTTTAGAACATAATAGGATTGACCCACCACCATTAGAATAGCAAAAGACACGAAGCTCACTACATTGCACAACTGCCTGGAGCATTTCAAACCCAAAACCCCAAAGAATGTATAAAAGCCCACCTATCCCAACCCCATTCTGTCAGCTCTCCCAGGTATGTTTATTGCATATTATTATGCAATAAACATAGTTATTTTTTCCAATCAGCTTCCATTTTATTTCCAGCGCCTTTCTCCTGAATTGGAACCAGACTAGATTTTTCTTCCAACAGATCTTTAAGAAAGAAAGACTCTTGTCTTCATTTGGTTGAAGTGATAGGGTCTTTTACTAAAGTTAAGTGGGTGCAGTGAAAGTAAAACTAGATCTGATTATTCCCACACAAAGGTTACACTTTCCCCACTTTCTCTAGCCCTCCTGCCTTAATCAGTCCATCAGTGTCCAATAGTAAGGCATTTAGATGTTTTGGGAACTGCTTGAATGTGTGGTGTCTTTCAATCTAGTTTTGCATTCTGTTCCCAGGCCAGGTGTCCTTGATGGCTGCTTTATTCTAGTTTGGCACTCTGGTTCTCTGTTCCCTCCTCCCACCATTTGTCTTCTCACTCCCATATTTATTATTCCAAATTCCTTCCCTCCTTGGAATTTATGGCAGGTTGCCAGTGAAGTGAAGAAGCTAAAAATGGCAGATCTGACAGGTCTCACTATTCTGAAGACCAAAAGTGCAGATTTCTTCAATTAAAAGGAGCAACTTTGAATGTGTTGAACATGAAAATTATTTTAATAATTTCTTTAAAATTTAAGTAAATCAACACATTTAAATATCCAATAGTAATCATATTTAAATAAATATTTTCATTTAATTTGACATGTACATTTTCAGGACTTACTTATTATCATTTATATATTTATATTTCACATTTCTTAACCATTCATCTCCTCAATCTCTGGATTGTTAAAAAATGTGAGATAACCTCCAATTTATACATGATTTCAAATATTAATAGTAAACGTTAAAAACAACATTTTTAGTTGAAATTCAGCTCTCCTTTTAATGGCAGATTAATTTGATTAAACCAATAAAATTATACTCTTATTTAACTGATTGTACCTTTCTCCGTCTCTTTGTCTCTCTCTTTTGCAATCTTAGTTCACACATTTCACTCCTTGCTAAACTATTTATCTTTTCCTCCCCAACACCAAATTTCCAGCAATGCCGAGCCTTAAGGAATTTCTCCTCACTGTATGCCATCCTCTCTGCTCTCCAGTCCAACTCTATTTACCGATTAAAGCGCACCTGGGCTGCAGTCAACAGGTAAGTCTATATAAGGGAATGAGATAAAAAAGGGCAAAGGGCTGATCAAATATACCTCACTGTCTTCCCTTTGGCAAAAGACCACAACGACATGGCAAATCCCGGGAATTTTCTTGGAGAGCAATTCTACAAGAAAGGAAGCACCAACACATTAGACTGATGACATATCAGGTAGTTCTGCATTTTATCCCGCAGAGACACCAGAAGCTCCTTTCGGAAGCTCTCACAGATCTTCTCCGAAGACCACAATCATCTGAACTGCCGAGAAATCTTACTGCAGGTAGGGGCAATATCTCCTGAGAAGAAGGAAAACTAATGTGGTGTACAGGTGTGATTTTCCAATTGGTTTTCCATCTCTCATGGAAGTAATGAGGGAAAATACTGACATTTTTTGCTGACTGATTCTGGGTGTAGTCTAACATAGTCAGTTGGTACATTTTAATTTTATATTATCTGAACATCAGTTTGCCCTTTGGGGCTCTTCTGTAGGAAGGAGATACTCAGGGTCCTTGTGATGGATGGAGAAATCATCAAACACCAGTCAGGACTTCTCTGAAGGTGAGATTTCAACTGGAGCAAATTGTAAGAGCTTTGCTTTCTTGATTGCATCCAGTCAAGCTTGCTTACTGCTTGCATTTGCCAGTATTCATAGAAATATTTTGCAATTTTGATTTCATGTCATGGTCTTAAGATTTACACACGTGCACCTCTTTTGCAATCCTTGATAAGTGGGTATGGTAGGTAGGTGGGATCCCACAAGGAGATAGAGAGAATTATATCATCCTCTTTCCTTGCTTGGAATTGCTGGTGTTATGGCATGGCATACCCACCTAATGAATCCAGGGTTTTTGTTGCAGACTCCTACCATCCCATACCTTGGCACCTTTTTAACTGATCTGATCATGTTGGATACAGCACTGCCAGATTTTGTGGAGGTGAGCATCTTTGAAAGAGGGCTGAAAGAGGGGGATGAAGAATGTGGTGAGCATTTGGTGAAAGAGCAAACGATTGTTCCCATAACACTTGAGTGGGCATTTCAAATTAACTTATTTATTTAAGTCCATCTGGTTTGAAATATTGAATGTATGTGAATGGCTTTATTTTTACCAAACATCATTAGGAGAAGGAATGCCCCTTACTTTGAAGAATGGTTAGCACAGTTTGGACTGTTGCAATGTGATGTATCTGGGATCACTGGAGTTTGGCAAGGAATCTGCAGCTCTCACCAAATGGCACAATTACTCAAGAAGGAAATCTTCCATAACCAATCAACACCTATTCTAAAGACTCTGTACCAAGGTGGATGACAGTCAGTGGTGGGATTCAAATAATTTAACAACCAGTTCAGCAGAACTAATACCTATTTTTTTGTTGAGTGCAGTAAACCAGCTCTGAAATGGTCAAACTAGCATGCATTCACATGCCTCCAATCCCTTGCTTGCTGAAATCTGGCTTTGCAGCATGCAAGGGGGTTGGAGGCACGTGAATACTGGTGTCTCAAAAAAATGGGTTTTTTCCCCCACTCCTGGATTAGTGTATACTATTTTGAGTCTAAATAATTTTTATGTAAAAAGTATGAATAACAGTTTCTGGTACTTACATTTACTTAAACACTGCATTTAGGAGTTTGGAATGAAGTTTGGAGAGATTAAGCTAGAGAAAGGAGGTGTTGCATGCAAAACATGTGGACTAAACTCTCAACACATCCTGCAACCCTACACCACAACTTAGAGGAAGAGATATCCCTTCTTAGTGGAAAAGGATGGGTGCATGAGAATAAATAAGAAAAAAAAACAAGCTTGAAAAATCAAACTTGAAAAAAAACAACCTAATTTTGCCTGCTTAAAAAATGCCAGGTTTAAACATGCAATTTGAGACCACAAAAAAGGTTTAAAGTCATAAAGTGGGCTGTACCACTTCCAAATGGAGCAAAATTGTAATGTCATTTCCTTCTTCTCCACAATATTAAAAACTCCATTTGGGAAATCAGCATGAAAAGAAGCAAAGGACCTGGATTCAAAGTCTTCTATCCCCCACCTGACTCTGGTGTTTTTCCTACTTGCAGATAAAAAGGTTATTTAGAGAAGCAGTCAAGAAAGCGGACCCTTATTTACCTTCTGAAATGGAACAGTCCATTTAGCTACTGGAAGTCTCCTGATCTATCATGTGCGGGTAACTCTGTAAACAAGCAGGAGCAGAAGCTGGTAAATGCTATCGTATCTGTATGAAACGCATGTCTGAGCTGCGGTTACAAAAGCCAAACTAAAGACCTGAGTTATTTCATTTCGAATTAAAGTAAATGTTTTTTGAGACACCAGACTAATGTGCATTCACGTGCCTCCAACCCCCTTGCATGCTGCAGAGCCAGATTGCAGCAAGCAAGGGATTGGAGGCACGTGAATGTGAATGCACTCTAGTCTGGCCATTTTGGAACTGGTTCGCTGAACTCAACAAAAAATTAGGTATCTGTTTTGTCGAACCAGCTAAATCCCACCACTGATGCCAGTCCATTACTGAGTCAAATTCAAGTGATCTGTTACTATGTACAAGGCCCAATTCAATTTAGAAACTGAGTATCTGGTGGAGTACTGGTTCTCTTATGGACTTGCTGCCAGTTCACCTCTAGAGGACAATGTCCATTGAGAATGTGGTATTTGCTGGCCATTCATGTTGGCATGTGTGTATGGGAAGAACTTGTCAGTAGTTGCCAAGGGGCTGTTTTTGTCTTGTATCAGATGAAATGTTTTCCAATTTATCATGTGTCCCAATACCTTGTTTACTCCTTAAAATATCATCAGATTCTTTCTTACTTTTCTGGCTGGCCTCAGTTGTCTAAACTCTCAGTCTGCTATTTGAATTTCTTTTGGCTAAAAATAAATGGGGGATGATTGAGCCTGAAACTTTGCACATAAAATGTTAGTGGGAGTTGGTTCAACTAACTGCTGCTTAAGTTCTGCTCCATGGGCTGCTCATTGCCTTCATTTTCTTTTCTTTTTCCAATTCCACAGGGCCAGCTCATTAACTTTGAGAAGAGGCGCAAGGTAAATCAAAGTGGAAGAACTGGAGGGATATGGGTAGGAGCTAACATTTCCTAGTTTTGTGCTTAGCTCTGGGATGGGGAGGCATAATCCTGGTCACCAGGAGATTGGACAGGGGTGCAACTCCAGCAATAGGGACTCTGTCATATGCACCCCTCTTCTTCAGGAAGCAGCAATCCTCTTCTGCATCTGTCATCTGCAACAGTCCTGTCAGGGATACAATTTTTGCCAGAATCCATCCTTCCACTTGGCCTTCCATCACCAGCGGCAGCTTACTGAAGACCAGAGGTGGGAAGGTGATTTCTGCTGGGGATGGACAGAAAATTGTTTGGTGGGTGAAAGCATTAGACACTCCTAACACTGAGCGGTGGCTCAGTGGCTAAGACACTGAGCTTGTGTGTCAGAAAGGTCAGCAGTTTGGCAGTTCAAATCCCTAGAGCCGCATAACCAAGTGAGCTCCCATCACTTGTCCCAGCTTCTGCCAACCTAGCAGTTCAAAAGCACATAAAAATGCAAGTAGAAAAATAGGGACCACTTTGGTGGGAAGGTAACAGCATTCGGTGCACCTTCGGTGCTTAGTCATGCTGGCCACATGACCACGGAGATGTCTTTGGACAGTGCTGGCTCTTGGGCTTTGTAACGGAGATGAGCACTACTTCCTAGAGCCAGAAATGACTAGCATGTATGTGCGAGGGGAACCTTTACCTTTACCTTTTAACAATTATATCATTCAGGTTGCACCTCTGGTTAGAGATTTTTAAATGGCTAAATAATTGAAAATTTAAAGTGTGCTCACGACAACTTACCACTTTTTTACATCAGAAAAAAATAAGTTTTCAGGCCCTTTATCAAAGACAATGCATAGTGAAGCAGCTATGTGTGCCCTTTCCCTGCTGAAAAAAATTCATCCAAATTGTTTTCTTCAAATATACTATCATTGAATCTTTATTGAATTAGTTCCTGTGCAGCTTATATAGCTATATCTATATATCAATCTATATATCTATATCTATCTATATATCTATATCTATAGCCATCTATCCATCCATCCATCCATCCATCCATGTATCTGTTTCATCATTGCAGTGTTCAGAAAATAATGAGGGATGTTGAAATGATTTGTTTGTTGCTAGTTTCACAAATTCATTATATTCATAAAGTTCAGTCATTCCTCTCCTTCCTGGCTACCAAAGTATCAGAGTGGTTGTCCACTACCAGGTTAGCTCTCCTGCTTTTCATGACGTAGATCATTGTACAATCAAGGCAGGAGAAAGGAGGCTGTTGGCCCAGTTGTCTTTCCATATCTCTGTATTCGATATTGTTTTAATATAACTTGGAACATGCCAAATATGGTGTGAAACCAGCTTAGAGAAGCCCAGGTAGAGTCTTGGGGACAGACTAGCTCAATTGCTGCTGCAGTGAACTGATGGTAGAAGTTCCCCCTTGGAATGGTAACATGCTGAAAGTGGACAATAGCCAAGGCAGCAAAGGCATCTTACCCAAAGTGGATTCTCAGTCCTAAATCAGGACAATACCCTCTGGCAATGACTCAGAATAGACTCCAAACAGGCAAGATAGGGTTAGCAATGGGAGCAGTAAATATTACACTGGTATTTGCCAGCTAAAGGATGGGTGAACAGTATTGAGTAGAGGTGAAGGATCCAATGAGAGGATGGGGCAGGGCAGAGAATCAGAAAGGATTCTGGAACTTGATGAGTAAACAAGCAGTAAGGGGAGATATGGGGCTAAGAGTTCAGGCCGTAAACCCCAAAGTGTATTCTCAGTCAACCATTGAAAAGATGTAGCTACAGAATCTGTCTTCACTGTTCTCCTCCAGCTACTACATTTCTTGTATGATAGAGCCACCAGCTGACTCCTGTCCCAACTCACCAAAGCTGCATCGCAGTCTGACCAAACGATTTAGCTCGTAAGTTATCCCAGTAAGAGGTGATATTCTTGTTCCTTTCTATCTTCTGCCTTTTTACCTGCCACCCGATCCTTCCCTCCATGCTCCAGATAAGCACTCCATGTACCCTGTGGGATTTTTTGTTGTTGTTGCTCCTACAGTTTACTTTTGTCATGCTGATGGGAAGGGCAACCAAAACTGGGTTAATTTGGTTTAGGATAGATTAAACCACAGTGGAATTATAAATCAACAAATTAAGCTGTTTACTTCCTGCTTTATTTGTGGGGTTTTCGGAAACATCTGGCTGGCCATTACTAAAAATAGGGTGCTAAGCTATTCAGAGGGAAGGGCTGCACTTAAGGCTGATCTTATAAATATGGGGCACAATGTCACCCTCTTCATATACCATCAGATCCAGGTAACATAGGCCTCTGAAGATTTGCAAGAGGTCTGGGCTTTCCAGGTCAAACAATTCCTGGTTCAGAGTAAAATTCCCTAGTATATAATGTGAGAAGTCCTAGAACTATTTGCAAGTTAATTTTTTCTAAGTATTAACCATAGTTTGGAAGAGGCAGTGCTTCTAAATTAAATTAAATTTCCTAAGAGGGAATTTTCAGAAGAAATGGGCTGTTGCAGAAATATAATGAATATGCAGAATGATTGAATATTTTAAATGTGTAACTGTACTAGCAGTATAAGTTTAGGTACTCATGAGAAGAGACATTCAGAAGTTTACTAATTTTGATTGGGCCCTTTGAATAAGGAGGCACTGTAAGTGGATTTGCAAGCTGGTAAAGTTTTTCAAATGATCAACTGAATTATTTCTGGACCACATTCTATAAAAAGTGATGCAAGGTTGGTCTGAGAGTTAGAAAAATGATACTCAGAGCAAATGATGGGACCAAGACATAAATCCAGTGATGAATTACATGCCAAGGAATAACTTTGACTAGAGCAGCTTCTGAAATACAAAATCCACATTTCATTCCCAGATCTATGCTAGCCACTCATAAATGGTGTTGGGTTGCTGAGATACACATAGATGATTTATGCTCCTGGGTTGATACAGGATGAGATCAGAGTATTATGGAGGGTTAAATAATGAGATCGATGTGAGGATATGCTGGGATCCTTTTGGTTTTATTTTAATGTGGAGAGAAATGAGAAATATGTGAAACTGCACGTTTCCCTTAACTCTCTATCTGGCCCCCTTTCTCCTCTTCTCTACAGACTCCTCTTGAACTCAGAACCTGCAACTCCTTCTGGGTCTGAAAAGACTGGAACTATGCCATTGGGTTCTTCTAGTAGCCTTAACTCTGAAGATGGATCCAGTGTCCCTTCCTCCCCGACATGGGTATCTCCTGGGGTCAAGGTGACTTTTTATTTTTATTTCTAACACTGTTTCTATGCTATCTTTCAAGTCTTGGGATTCTTGCAAAACAGAAATGGACACTTATGCAATTGGTGGATTACAATCACCATACAATACATGTGCTACAACTGGCTTTATAAGATCACTCTTTTTAAATTGCTATATTTTACTTTTTGTTGTTGGCAGTTTTATAAACAGCCTGGACAAGGTTACTTCAGGAAATTATCATCATAAGTATTATCAAAAACAGGATTTAAAAACCTGGTGTTATCATATTGTTGCCACAGAAGACAATTTCAGCAACAAATGCATAACCACTGGTTCCATTGAATTAATTAAAACCAAGAAGCTGGAAATATTAATGGGACCCGGCCCATATTTTTTTTTCTTGAGAGAACATTCTGGATGCTGTTATTCCAAAGACCTTGTGTCTGTAGCAACATTACAAGGAATAACAGAACATGATAAAGATCTGGACTACTGATCTTGGACACAGCAAACAAGATTATGGTAAATGCAGGCATGAAGAAATTGGCCCAGAGAGTAATAGAAGGAAATGGATGTCATTCTTGCTAATAAATGCTATAAAGGATAATAAAGGAACATGAACATCAATTGTTTTTGCCATTTTTTTTCTTGTTTTTTACAAACATCATTGTGTGAACAGTATGGCACTGGAGTATCTTACATTTTAAAACAAATATGACAATATTCTTCATATTTATTACAGTTGACAATTTTATAAAATTTGATATTAATACACATATTTTGTTAAATTGTAATCAGTACCATATTTTTGTGTCAATCTCCATATTCTAAGTTTAGAATAAACTTAGAAAAACTCTTTTTACTACGAATAAAATATTATTAATTATATTTGTAGTGTTTATCAGACTTATATAATTCTAATAATAATTCACCAATTTATATTGAATTATGATCTTCCATTATTTATCCCCTTTCCGATTTTTAGTTATGCCACTATTATATTTAAAAAATATCCCCTTTCTAATCATATTTTGCAACTTATTTAATGCAAATAAAATAATATTCATCATATTTAGGTTTAACAAGCTATATAATTCTAATAATAGTACAATCATATTTATTATAATTTCATTATCTTATTCAAAATTTCAATATGTTCTTTTTATATCAGTTAAATTCTACGTATGCTTCCTTTTCTTACAAATAGAATATTAATATTCATATATATTACAGTCAACATTCTTATGTAGTTTAACTAATCATACACATATTTACGTTAAATTGTATTCTTCAATTGTTTGATTATTCCATATAACATATTCAAAATTACCCTCATTAAAATTCTAAATTCTGTTATTAATTCACTTTATAATGTAAAAATATCTATTCCATTAATCCCCCTTCCTTGTGTGTCCAACCACACTTGGCCAATAAAGAATTCTATTCTATTCTATTCTATTCTATTCTATTCTATTCTATTCCATTCCATTCCATTCCATTCCATTCCATTCCATTCCATTCCTTTTTTATTATCCATCATCTCTCACTCACATTAAAGCTTTAATTATTTGTTTCTTAGCTTCTCTCCCATGTTCTTCTCTTGGATTTTTATCTCTATCTGCTACCACTTCTTGGCCCATTCTCTTATACATTTCTCCCTTCTCTACCCAGTTCCATTGTCTCATTTCCAAGTTCTCTACTCTTACCCCTGTCTCTCTCCCAAAGAAAACTCCCTGCAGTTCCAATTCCTGTTTAACTTCCCTTAAAATACTCTCCCGTTGATTTATATCATCAATCACCATTATTTTTATTTTTATCTCCTTGTAATTTCTTTTTGTTTGTTGTTTTGTCTGTTCTATTTTTCCAGCTGCTCTTCTGGTTAACTCCTCCTCTTCCTAGACATCCTGTTTTCTCTTTGTCATTTGTGTCTTGATTTCCGGCTCAGATAACAGATAATCAGAGTTGGAAGGGACTTTGTAGATCATCTAGTCCAACGCCCCCGTCCAAGCGGGAGACCCTACACCATTTCTGACAAATGGCAGTCTCTTCTTGAAAGCCTCATCTATGCTCTGCATTTTATTCAGAATCTTCTCACATCTTCTTGTCAAAATGTCCTTCATATACTGGATTTCTGACTCAATTTCTTCCCAAATTCCACACATCTTTTTTTGTTTATTTTATTTCTTTTTGTCCAATAATCCACCAATCTTTTGTTCACACCAAAACCACTTCTCAAATAAATTCAGTGTCCAATTTCCAGGAGTCTTTGAATCCCTAAGTTAATCAGTCTGTTCTTCTAGATCAGTGGTCCCCAACCACCGGGCCCCAGAACGGTACCGGTCCATGGATCATTTTGTACCAGGCCACCGGTTTCCTTGGGCGCCGCCATCTTGTTTCAACGCCGCTTGAGAAAGTGCTTCCGGGTGAGCTTGTCGGTCGTCGGTTGTTGGAAAGCGGCATTTGGGTGCTGAAGGAATCCTCGCGCC